CCCCATCTCTCTGATTTGCTACAACCGTATGTCCCTCCACGTTCCCTGAGGTTAGCGGACCAATTACTCCTCACAGTTCCAGGAACTTGTGTTAAGTGCAGAGGTGACAGGGCCTTCTCTGTAGCAGGACCAAGATTTTGGAACAAGTTACCTTTGTTTGTCAGACTGGCCCCCTCCCTCTCAGTTTTCAAATCCCGTTTAAAAACCCACTGCTATTCAGTAGCTTTCAACACCAGAGGATCTGTGTTTCGAACCTGTATGCTCCACACTGGTTTGTCGTCATAATTATTATCTGCATCGTTTTTATGTCTATATTCTGATTTACTTCATTTTGTATATTGCTTTGTGTGTTACCTGTTGTTCTGTCTGTACAGCACTTTGGTTGGCCTTGTCACTGTTTTACGTGCTCTATAAATAAAATGAAATGGTATGGTATTTTATTTTAACTTGTTAAAACTTTTAAATTTGTACACATCTTTTATGATTGTCTAATGTTGTCGTTGTTGTCCACTGTTGTCATCACTCTTTGTTAAAAATTCAGGTCTCTCTTGTAAATGAGTCCCCGAGGCTCAACGGGGTTAACCTGTATAAATAAATGCTGAATCAATTCCCATTTGCCCTCGTCGACATCGGGGCTGGCTCACTGCAGCAAAACACAATGCTTTTCAATGAAACTGGCGTAGTCTAAGGGTGCATTCACACTAGCCCTGTTTAGTCCGCTTTAATCGAACTCTAACTTGTTTTCCTTGAAAGTCCGATTCGTTTAGGGAGGTGTGAACGCACCATCGAACTCTGTCATGGAACAAAAAGGCTAACTCTGGCCCGGGCTAAAATCTAGGTCTCGGTCCGGTAGAAGCGAACTCCAGCGCGGTTCGAGTGCAGTGTGAATGTAAACAGACCGGATCCCGCTCCGCAGGGTAAACAAACACGCATTTCTCTGACCTTATATGGAGCCGTCAGCTGCCTTGTGGGAAAAACAATATTCTCCATGGTCTTCTGCCTCATCTTCTGCTCATGCTAAGTCCATTTTTTAAAAATGACAAAATATAACTCCTAAAACAGCTAAAACTTGATGCCACTTCGTTTTTATTTTTATTTACAGAAGAAGAAGAAGAAGACGTGTCTTCAGAGGTTTTTGTGTTGTTTCTTTCAGTAGTTCTTGGTGTAGCGCCCCCACAGGCGAGCGGGGGAATAGGTTGGTTCAACAGGTTGACTCGACTGCACAGTGCAGTGTGAACGCAAACTCACCAGCTCAAATGTAAACAAAAGCTCATGAATATTGGTCCCGAACCGAACCGAGTCTACCGGACTATCTAGTGTGAAAACGACCTAAAACAAAACGGCGGCAATGAAGGGAACACTTAGGTCCATTAAACCTCTTTTTTCCTAAACAACTTAAAATACATCGATGTAAAACGAACATGAACTTTCCTATTATCTTAATAAAGCAGGATGTGAGGATTTATTCATATTTTCTGACCTGTATGAAACGGGTGAAAGCAGAGCAATGAGGAGAGGATGAATCATGTTTCCCTCCAGTTTGTGAAGGAAGACTGCACACAGGCCTCCCCTTTACAGATCCCCAGAACAACAAATGAATAACAAAGTTTCCACCCCGGATTCAAGCCTAGATGTGCCAGTAATTAAAACATTTATGTACTTTGTACATTAACGAAAATTATTACTATTATTCTTTCGCAATTTACTACTTAAATGTGGTAATCCCTGATTTAAGGGTGCCACACATATTTAGTATATTTAGTTGATGTTTTTCTTAGTTCATATCTTAGATGTTATTACTG